GGGTTTGTCATGGAATCAAATGGTTCGGTTTTTAACTGCAGGCAGAATTTAGAATGATCTATAGTAATGACCTGTAGACAATGATTTAGTTGACTAGAGGATTTATCCAAGTCAATTAAGGAGCGAAATATCATTCCCTAAGTTGCATCTAGAGAAATAGTTTTTTCGACAATGGGTAAATTAGTATGTGAAAGTCAAAATATTCTATAAATATCTTTGTATATAGTATATACAATAAAGACACGCCATGCTAATCTGACTGCAGGTTAAAAAAAAAAAAAAAAAAAAAAAAAAATTAATTAAATATCAATAAAAATATTTAATAATATTAAAGAAATAATTATAAATAAATAAATAAAAATAAAATTATGATTATAGTTAAAAATAACTATTAAATAATATCCAGTATTATTTTTATTATATTATAAAAAATATTTACTGTATTAATATTTATTTCAATATTAAAAAGATGTTTAAATATTTTATAATTATTTTTTATTTTTTAAAAACTTTTTTATTAATATTGATAATAATTTTATTTGATTTTTTAAATCCTTAGAAATCAAGTTTTTAATTAAAGAGATTTATAAACAAAAAAAAAATATAATGATAATTTTTGAAAATATTTTTAAATCTAGTTTTTTTTCATATAATTAAAAAATTATAATAAAAAGTTTTTTTTCAATTTTTTTAATAAGAGTTAAGTTATTATATAAATTTTTTAACATAAAAAAAAACTTATTTATTTATTTTATTATTTTTTAAAATTTCTATTTATTATAATTAATATAAAATATATTGATTTTTAAAATATAAATAAATTTTTATTAATTAGAATTATATATAATATTTGAATAATGTTATTAATATTTAGAATAATAATATTTTTTCTTTAACTATATTTAAAATAAAATTATAATATCAAAAATATAATTTAAAAATCTTTAAATAAAAAAAAAAATGAAATATAAAATCAATTTAATTGAAAAAAATAATAATTAATACAATATTTAATAATAAATTTTACTAATTATATAGTTTTATTTAGAAATAAAATTTTAAAAAATAAATAAAACCAAAAATCAAGTATTTTTTATTAAGAAATATTAAAATTTTTAATATAAAAACTATTTGCAATAGTTCTTCATTTTTTAAATCATTGATTTATAATATTTTCTAAATTTTATTTCAATTAAAATAAAAAGCTATAAATTTTATTTTTCAATATATATATATATATATATGATCCATAAAATTTTAAAAAAATATAATATATTTTTAAAAAAAGGTTTTTTTTAATAATATACAACAATTAAAAAAAATTAACTTTTAAGAAAAAATTTTAATTACGTATTTACTGTATTTCTTTATTATATACATTTTGTATATCGAATCTTGATATAGCTTAAACCACGTGCTCTAGAAAATTCACAATTGTATAATGGAACAGGTTTGAAACGGGCTATATTCAATATAATAAATTTTATCGATACTATTGCAATCACAAATTACTGTAAATTAAACCATACTATTTAATATTTGCTCAATATTATAGTGTGGGGATAAGCATGATTTATTATATACTAAAAGCAAAAAATTTTACACAATGACGTGTAATAATAGTAATAAAAAAAAAAGTAAATACATTTAATGAAAGGGGAGGTTGGGAGAAAGAACAGATACAGTACATCATAAAATAAGAATATGAAAATGAAGTTGTCCAATATTGTAGACTACTTGTAAATCTTGAAATAGTCGGATACACCGGAGACTGATGAATCACTTTTGAGAGAGACAATAGCATGAAAAACAGATGAAGTGTCCCAATTTTTACCAATTGTGAAGTCGATAGTACCGGTTCCCATGGATTTCTGAGATTTAAGAACTGTAAGTTTATGATAATAAAATAGAACGAGATTTATAACTATGTGATACTTACGCTGCCTTTAAAGACTTCGTGACCATTGCTATCTACGATCTTTATAATAGCTGTTTCTATTTAATAAATATTTTATATTATTAATAACTCATCAATAGAAAGTTATCAAATACTCCAAATTCTAGATAATTTACCATAAGTCGGAATATCTGTACTCCACCAGCTCACACTTTGAATAGACCCCACTTTCCAAGGACCACGTGCCGGAGAAGAAACGTGGATCGTTTGGACATCCCTAAGATTTAAAGTTGGCGCAGGAGCGCAGAAGACAATCGAGGCAAGAACCGTAAGAGCGAAAATGATTATCATGGAATATTTCATGTTGGATTTATTGAGTGAAGATGGTTTATAAAAAAATTTTTTTTTTTGGATATTTTATTTCACCTTGACCTTTGCGGATGATCTGAACGGTAGATATGCGGGTGTTTATATAGCATTTGTAGAACATATTTCTTTACAAAAATAGAATTATTTTCACAATCATGAATGAATCTCCACTTACTCCTAAAGCCTCCTTAAAAAAAAAAAGAATGTGTTCAGTCTTCTTATTATCGAGACTCAGCCCAATAACCCCACATTTCCTGTTAAAAAACTTTATTTTTAATAAATAAGACCCACTTTCTATCATAACAATTCGATGCGATCAGGAGTTACTTTTTTAATCTATCCTGAAATTTGGCTTAGGCCGATAATTGTTTTTTCTTCGTCAAAATCTCGATCGTCCGTAGTGGCTTGGACGATCTTTGATCTTGTGGCTAGGGATTCACAATTGCGAGTTTTTCGATAGATTTGTTTTTCGGATGAACAAGACCCTCGTTGACAAAAGACTCGCTACTAATGTATGCCTCTTGTCAACACAGCCTTGCCTTGCTCAAAAATCGTATGACATGATAGCCTTTTCTGCATATAACAGCTCACGATAAGCCCATTTGATTACGATATCCTTAAATTTTTTTTTAGAATAAGGAATTCCCAGAATTGATAAAACTAAGTTGAGACAATACGTCCTCATGAGAAAGAATAAGACGGCTCTTTTTTCTCAAAACAATAAATTTATTAATAGTAACTTATAAATTTATTAATAGTACTTAATGTAAGTTTATTAAGTTATTAATAGTACGGTACTTAATATAAATTTATAAATCCATTAATAGTACGGTACTTAATATAAATTTATAAATCCATTAATGGTAACTTAATACCATAGTAATATTAGTAAATACCATATTTATTTATTTATTTATTTATTTGTAATACCCGCAGCCAGGTTACCATAGTAATATTTATTATGAATTAACTTAATAATAGTAAATTATTTTTATTAATAAAATATTTTATTTGAAATATTCTTTTACTAATTTTTTAATTAGACTTAAAAAATTATTTATAAATAAGAAATATAATAATTATATATTTCAATTATCTAATATTTTTTTTTTAAAAAAAAATATTTATAATCAAGTTAGATCTAGTTTATTATTAATTAATAGAAAAACAAAGTATATATATATATATATATATATTTTTAAAACTCTCTGTCAAGCTAGTTATGTATGCTAGAAAAGCAAAGTACATATATATATATTTAATCCATAATCATATCACAATGGTATGTCTTTATTGAGATATTGAAAGATACTATAATGTTTAAAAACTTTCACAAAGTGACTAACTTGTCATTGTACATTATTAGTTAAAGAGCTACACTACTCAAAAAATATAAGGAGTCTACTAAGTTAGTTTGAATTAAACAAAACTAAGTCTAAACTATGTACTCTAAGTCAAATTTTAAGGACAATATTATATTCTCCTAGTAGCTTGACATTAGCCTTTAAGTTGATCAGAATCATTGTCAACATTTTGTCATTGTTAATTATTCTGAAAAACAATAAATCATCAAAGTTGGCACTGGTAAGAAAAAAAAAGGGGAATATAATTTAAAGCTCTCCAAAAGGTTCTTGTTTCATTTCATAATTTTCTTTTGAAAGGTGTTTGCCTAATTGGAATATTCTCTAAGCTTCATGACATTTGAGAAACTTAACCATTTCTGAAAGTGATTTCAAGAAGAACATTTAAGGAACTTATTCTTTTATCAATGTACGGATTCACTTAATACTACTAAAGCCAGTACCATACTATAGAAGAGTTTGTCTAATCAAGATAAAAAAATCTTTTTAAGAACTTTGTCTAATCAGGATAGAAGCTTGGAAACCTCAGTTTTTGTTTAAAAAAATCCTTTTACTACCTAAGAAACTTAATGAAAAATGTATGTTAAATCTTCTTTTTCTACCCATTGCTTACTTTTTAATATTATAATTGTTTTCTGAAGGTTGAATATATACAATTGGAGAGAACACTTTTTCTAAAACTTTCTTTTCTATATTATCAATAATATATCGAGACATATGAGTATGACCAATAGAAACTTATTTACATTTCAAAAACTGATGTGTTTCATATCAGTCAATTACTTTTGATAAGAATTTGTATTACTCAAAATTCAGAATCAAATTGAAATAGACAAAATTCTTCAGAAAACTATGAAAATAGGAGCTCTAAGAGAGCCAAGACAGTCAAAAAGAAAAAAAATAAGTCTTTTTACTGCAAAAAACCTCCGTAAGCCTCTCTTCAAAGGTTAGAAAAGCCTTCAAGTACTTCACAGTCAGTTCTTTTTTCTTTGAAAACTTTCTTGTTATTGGTATCAAAGGTATTACTTGACTTTTATTGATTACTATAGATCAAATTTTTAAGTGAAAAAGTTTGTAAACAATATAAGAAGGATAGAAACGACTCTTGAAGTTATACTTCAAGTTGTTTTAAGAAAAGTGTTAAGACTTTATTAATAAGGAAGTATAAAAATTTCTTGTGAACATCTTTTTTGTATGTGGTCAGAAAATTGGTGAAAAGAGTTTTTTTAGAAAAACAAATATATTTTTATTTGAATAACATGATATATACTATAATTAAACTTTACATTTTAATAAAAA